CAGGCCTAATCTACTGTGATCGAACATGATTGCTATTTTTCGGTGTAAAAATAACTTGATGTAAAATTTGTTTCACTCTTGGACGGTCAAGTTCTGATTTTTCTCTAAAATCACTCAGCCTTTGCCTCAAAAGTCAAAATGAATGTGCCCTGATCTGTGGATTACAAGTTTATTGTTTGATTTAAATTATGAATTTATTAACGGGAGCTTCGCTTTTAGCCCTGGCTAAATCTATATATTATCCTGCCTTTTGGTGAAAACTTTAAATGTGGTGCTTCTTTTCGCTCTCGATCGAGCTCGTAAGAGGGCTTTGAGGTCAGAAGACTTCGTCATTTAGGGGCAAACTCATCTCCGGCTGGTTGGGAGAAATTGTGTGTGTGTCGTCGTATTCATTGCTTGCAACCACGTGACAAGGCGGCCATGTGGGTGGTGTGTTGGTGGTCAATACAATAGAATTTTTTCTCGAAGAATTTACACGAAAATAGTTCCACAGGAGAGAAATGCTTTTGTTCTGACCACCAGTATGGGAGATTTAGGGAACAGGAGTCAGTCTCCTGTTTTAACTCCTCTTCCCCCCCCCCCCCCCAGAAACGCCTGATACGCAGAATCACCTAATACTCCGGCTAAAAAGGGCAGAGACTTTTGGCCTAGCTTTCCCTAAGTTTTAGTAGAGCGTACCTTATTACACGTGCCTTTAAGTTTCTTGGGAACAAGATCGGTAAGACGACTTTGGAATTGAGACCCTTTTTTAAGATGCTTCTCTTTTTTCATAGTGATCGCAGTGGAGAAACAGTGACTGCGATGTTAAACACAGGTACAAATGTAAATGTCTCCGATAACAAGAACAAAAGCACACCGCTTCCTTAGCTGTCAATCAAGGTAATGACGCTGGGGTGAGGTCACTGCTGGCGTCAAGGCATTGCGACGTTAACTGTCAGGTGAAGATTGTTTTGCTAATAAGAAGCTTTCAGCCCCACTGAGAATTCTTAGTGAGGGTGTGCCGCCCGTTCTCCAAATCCTGACCCTATGTCAGACCAAAAAAATATCATTTTCCATACCCTTTCTGAGACCAGGCCTAGTTGTTCAAAAGCTGGATAACGCTATCCAAGCAAGCAAGTGAAGTCAAGATTAGAACGTCAAGGAAAAGATTTCTTAAAATCCATTTCCAATTCTCTTATTAATTCATACACTCCCGTAGTTCCTTTGGAAACCATACCTGATATCAGACAGAAATGGACCAAGTCTACAAGCCTTTTTAACTCCGAAAGGGAGCAAAAACCCTACCCTTTAGGGCAGCACATACCTCCATGGCTTATGTAAGAGAGTACCCCCGGGGGCCTTCAGATACACCGCCGTTTCTGGTGCACGAGTACGCTTAAAGGTGCCCGCACCCATACACGCAAACCTCTTTCCCAGAGAACGGCTGAGCGGCCGGGTATAACGAGTGTAGTCCCTTTAGCAGAAAGGGTAATATTAATCCTTCGCAACCGGTGTTTGGGATGTCACGCTTCAAAAAAAATGGCGTACATTTAAAAATGGCTATGACCCTCCTTAGGGGTTAAAGGAGAGGAGATTTTAGAATGCAAAGGGGAACGGAGAAGGGGCAGGATAGATTCCCCTCTCCCCAGAAACGCCCCATATTCAGGCTATGGCTACGAAGAAGACTGTAAAGGTCACTAGAACTGCGGGATCATCTGTACACTTATTCTTCATCTCGCAGTTCTTATTTGTGATATTCATATAATTGTCAAGTCTCATAGAGTCCCTCTGAACTTAAAAAAATCTTTTTCAAAAAATGTGACTAATTGTGAATGTTTTAAGCCCACTATACCCTGGGTGCCAGAGACTTCTTTTGTGCGGTTTTCGGTGTCTGTCACGTCTTTATACTTTCCCGCTCGATTTTCTCACGGCGTCGCCGCTCGTGGCTTGTGTCTTCGGCCAACACCGAGGATTCCCGCCACATGCGAGAAAAAAAAAAACCCTGGTACTCAGGGTAGCCCACATAAGCCCGCATAGCATTAATGAATTTGAATTTAAGTAACTTTCTTGAAATCGTTCTTTCCAGGATTTAGCAGGGGATACGCCGTTACACGATGCGATCTCCAAAGAAAAGAACGCAATCGTGGAGCTTATCCTTCGCTCGGAGCGCCTTGAGATTTTTGTGTGCAATGGCAGGGGTTTTAACCCTCTTCATCAAGCCTGCATGAAAGGAAACTTACAGTAAGTAATATTGAGGGACTCTGTCGGTCAATAGTAAGTTCGAGACAATCACCTTCCTCTTTAAGCTCGCGTGTTCCTTCGGTTTGTTCAACTGGAGTCCCATACCCCAGGCAAAACTGCAAACCCTTCAAGTCTGGGTGTGTTTCTACGTAGATAATTTGTACCTTCAAATTAACATTGTTTTCAACATTAGTTTTTTCCTAAACGAGAGTTTTTCCTTTCTGAATACGGTTTTTACTTTGCCACTGCATAATGACAGGTCGCTTATTAATACTTTTATCAAACCGTTTTTAGGTTTTTTTTCCGCGGAAAATGAGGGTCACTTTACTATTTTACTAATAACAAACAAATAAAAATTAAGAGATTCTTGAAATTTGGGGAAAATCGTGCAACACTTTCATATATTTTTGAAAAAGCCATTCGCTCTCCCATCTCGCCCGGCTAACATTTGACGTAAAGATTATTGGTTCAGATGTACTTATCTTTGCCTTCCTTTGTTATTCTTTCCGGTGGACAGCTTAAGACGACTTTTAACTTCAATTATCTCCTTATCGGTTGCAGTGCTGTACAGAAAATCGCAGACAAGTATCCTGGTCTTATTGAGATACCAAAAGAAGATGGATTTACCGCTTTGCATCTATCCGCGTTCAATAATCATCTTGACATTGCGAGGTGTCTTCTGTTGTCGGTATGTGAGCTAAATATCCTTGAGGAGTTCGATACATGCGCCGCCAAGTGATCAGCAATTTTGACCATTTAACGCATGCCCATGCAGAACTCTTGTTTAAAACAACTTCGACGGGAAGTCCAAAACAATGAGAAAAAGCGAGAACCTCACTTGAGTAGGGAGGAGAAGCGTGACGTAACGTTACCATGGTAGCAAAATAGTTTGAATCTCGACAATCTTTCTTGACAGAGACCGCCCATTGTCGAACGATGGAAGAAAAGTATGGGCTACCGTTTTGTGACTGAGAGCAATCACGCACAGGAAATTCATACAATACATGTCAATTTTTTTCGTTTTTTTTCTGACATATTTGCAGGACCAAAAATTTTGCTACCATGGCAACGTGGCGTAACGACTTTTCCTCTCTATTGGCCCCCTTCTAACATTGATGCTAATATGTCGGTCTTAGCTTATCCTAGTAATCTTAGGGTCTGTTTTAATTTTGCGTCACAAACTTCCCCATTCATTTTTTTATGGTGTTTTTATCTTTTAATTGTAGCTTTCTTACGTCTTTCATATGAACCATGGTAGCATTGCAATGTTTGGATTTTCTATCGTTCTGACGTACCATTTTATTAATTATTTATTTTTTTAACTGAAAAGCCCGACGATGTATTGGTGAGGTAAAGTGTAGACTAACATTCAATTAGTTATAAGGGAGGGGTATCAATAATATACTTTATAATATTAGGTATAAAATAGGTACCCTGTGTAAGTCTATCAAGGCGTGTGGGGGTTGAGGATTAGATTTCCTCTGTCGCGTAATTTTTACCTGCGTTTGCACGTACATTTTCTGACTTGCGTAAACAATATATAGGCAATGTATGGAAGGCCGCGCGTAAACGAAAAAGTTGCGCGAGGTTCAACTCTTAAGGTGATGTTACACGGGACGATTCGCAACGACGATTTTTAGAACAACACAGCGCTGCGATGTTGGAACAATGTTGTAACCATTCGAAACAATGTCGCAATAATGTTGCAACGCTGTGTTGCGCTAAAAATCGTCGTTGCGAATCGTCTCGACTAATATCTCCTTTTCGTTTATGCGCAACCTTGCATACAGTATATTTCGTTTTCGCACGTAAATTTTACGCACGCACATAAAAATTACGTGACAGTGGAAATCCTCCCTGAAGGTTTGGATTTCCGTACGTGCGCGTAAATAAAATAAAGAGAGTGTATAGAAGGTCACGGGTATACGTTAAAGTTGAACCTCCTGGCCTTCCATACATTGCCTCTATTTCATTTACGCAGGTAAAGTTTATGTGCGATCGCACGTTAAAATTTCGCGACATTGTAAATCCACCCAGAGGGAGTAATACTCGGCTCTTAGCGCACCTTTTTACGTGGTTGATAAGTGGCCTCTCACGCAGTTTTGTTTGTAACTCCAGGGCCATTGTGATATCAATTTACGAAACAACAAGAGACAAACAGCCCTGGCGCTAGCTGTGTCAGAAGCTTATACAGCTATGATAGAACTGCTTGTTGAACATGGTGCAGATGTCAATGCTGATGATGAGGATGGTGACACTCCATTACATCTTGCTGTTATTCATCAGGCTGTGGGTACCACTGGCTTGAGAGGGGTGAGTGTAGAGACGTACGGTCACGTGATTACCAAAATTTCTCGGATGGGTAGATTACTAAATTTTCTTACCCATTGTGCTCCGCTTCGCGCGCTTCGCGCGCGTGGAGCTCCTCTATAAATGAATATTTATCACAATGTGTGTGTGGTTAAATATTAGGGAGCTTAAGCAGCGACGTTTTTGAGCGACGCACGTCAACCGGAAGTGAGGCATTTTCCCTCTTAACATGCCTTGATGATATAAAATTTGTATTCCTTAGCTTCTTTACTGTTATAGAGGCGATTTGACTGAAAATTTGCGCGAAACCACCGTCAAAAAATGAAAAAACGGCCACTTCCGGTTGACGTGCGTCGCTCAAAAACGTTGTTGCTTAAGCTCCCTATTGTCACTGACAGGTTTCCTTTATGTCATATATTGAAATTTGTTTCAGGCCATTTTAATTTACGTATGAACGTATCTTCAGTTTAAGAGAGGTATTCTTTTTCTTTCTTTATTTTTTCGCATTGACTACTTCTTAATATCCTGAAACGTCGTTCGTCTGCTAGGATTAATAAATATGTATGTATATAACATCATCACGCCATTTATTTTAAGCAATTGTTACTTCATCTCTGTCACTGTGCATGAAACAAGCAAAGATCGTGTAACCTCCCCGATTAGCCACTCTTGGGTCAAAAATGATGGCTCCCCCATTATCAAAGCTGGTAGCTTGTGTCGTTCCGGGCTTGTGGCTCCAAATACCTAGCTGATCTAGACGATACCAGTGAAAATCTACACCTAAAGAAGAAGGAAAATAATTGAGTTTCTTGGGAAATTGTGTTTATTGTCTTGACGACACCCTATGTTTTAATCGGCACCGGAGTGTCGTGTTAAGTTTCTCAGAAAATACTCCACTTATGAATTTTTTTTACAAACTCATTGGGGGGTCCTCCTCCGAGAAGAGAAATATTCGGTGCGGTTGCCCGTAAGGGTTATACATGGTATGATATCTCGACTTATACCATTACGGGCCACCGTAGAAATGTATGTTCGAAAGCAAGTGATTTTTTTTCAAGGAAGAGAATTATTTAAATCGCACAAAACTGATTCGAAAATCGCGTAGTCTGTATACAGTCGCCTCTCAGCTCAAACAAAATCGCCCCTATTTTGTTTGAGGGGAGGATGATCAGAGACGCTGTACACAGGCTAAAATCGCTTTTTTTCTCTTTTTCGCTTTTTAATTTTACAATGCGCAGGCATTTATGGCAGCCATGGCATCTTTAAGTTTCTGCCATTGTTTCATACCAAAGTGCGTTGAACCTTGACAACAGCACCAGACAGTATAGTAGGCTTCCATGTATACCTTCTTAGGGCTTCGTTATGCGTTTCCGCTGTGGTCAAAGGGTTTATATGAGCGTCTGCCACATTTTATACCCTATGTACGAGAAAGTAATTCTATTTTTTGTTACCTGGGTTAATGACAAGTGCCACTAGATGTTTTTTCCCACTCGGAACCGGCGGCAGAGGTGCGGCGGGGGGCAGATCCAAAGTTTCCAAATGATCGTTTATCGCTGCATTTCTCATACAGTCAGAGAGATGATACTGGCACCTGGCCCCACTCCCCCTCCCCGGCTGGGCGAAGGTATAAGTGGGTTTGTTATTTGCATAGTTGTAGCAGTTGTTGTTTAACTGTGCGGCAGGGATGTCGTTCCAAGGATAGGATGTAATCTCATAAGCGTAACGTTTTCGTCTACCGGTAACTGAAATCGGTTTCTTTGGGGGTAAGTTTTGAATGGCTTTTTGCCCCAGTAGTTTCAGTGGTTCTGGTAGATTTTGTTGAAGTAGTTGTTTTGGTTGTTTGGCAGGGCTTACTGCGCTGATTACTCCGGGGCTTATTTCCTCCTTTAGAACTTTGTTAAAGTATGCTTGCAACATCTTTTCCTTTAACCAGTCTGAAAGAAAACGGAGAAACCGTTTAGAGTAGTATCGGCGGAAAACTTCAAAGAAAATACAAAATTTGATTCTGTAAAATGCCCAAGAAATAAGATTATACTCCTTAAGATTTTCATTTGAATAGTAATATACGTAAGGATTTTTAACGTTTTTGTACATTATAATGAACAGCATCAGCTTTCAGTTCTAAGCCGGATCCACGCCGTGAACGTTGTCAGAACTTCATCATTCACGGTCTCAAACATTTCTGCGGTAGAATTGTTCCCAGAATCTGACCAGAATGAACTTCTTTCTCCATAGTCTAGGCACATTGTTTGATATATTTTATTCTTTAACACTTACAGATAGATTCGGGTTGAAAATACTGTAACGATAAATACTAATGATTAATTATTAACGTCGTGTACGAAACGTTATATAGCATTTTTCGAAAACAGACCCCTGGCTCCCGCCCTCTCACTTAAAAGTTCGCGCAGACTCAAGCTAAGTTACCCTACCTGCAGGAAGAGTCCCAAATAAATGCTGTTGTAAAGCAAGTGTGCTCTTTCCAATAATTAGTTCAGGTTCCTTCTGTTTTAATCCTTGAACTAAAAATCCTTTGAACCCAAGTCTTGCGGGCATCATGTTTGGTGAGTAGGTTAAATAGCTTTTCCTTGCTTCATCGCGAGAAGCTTTTTAATTTGCGCAAACTTTGAATTGCTGGGTAGGAGAAACCACTGCGGATCCCGTCTACCGGAGAACACAGCCAAAGTCACATTTATTTGTCCTAAAAGAACAGTAACAGCTGTTAGGTTATGTTCACACTGTGCGGGTTAGCTTTTGCAAAGGTACGAGAACTATACCAGATAGGGCTTCTTTTCACTCATGAAAAGGATGATTTCTGCGCGATTTCTGTAACGGGCCGCGTCAATGCAGTTGTCTGTTTCGTAAACGGTCGCTGCCATTTTTAAGACACTTAGAAAATTTTTGACCTGTAATTGAAAGTTTTTCTATTAAAAAATAAGAAAATCGCAAGCCAGGGTGGAACCTGGATCTCGAACCCGGACCTTTCATATCCTAATCTCTCTCCCTTACCACTGCACTACCACACACCTACAGACCCGCCAAAATTCCGAAAGCAAAAGCGGAGAGTCACATATCGGACAGGTGTTCATACTTTACCGGTTAGCTCTTCGTGTCGGCGCGAAATGACATCTGGTATAGTGCGAACATGGCCTAAATTTGCAGAAGGCGCTCAATGAGAACTTACAGAAGAACTTGTGCAAAACTTCTTTTATTAGAGAACCGGTAATTACTCGATGGGTTGTCATCACAAGGTGGTAGACTGCGTGGAAGTTGTTTGAAGGGGAAAGGGAAGCGAATTTGGACTTGTGCGCCCCCCAAGTCCCCCTGATGACCTTAGAAATGACATCATAATGTTTAAAACTTACTTTAAAAGACATTTTCGAATCGTAATTTCTGTAGGTAATTTCTTGTTTTCTTTTTCATTACGTTTAAATCTTTTATCTGAATTTAAAGCCCCTCGAATGTTAATGCATGGTAGTTACCGACAACCTGTTTTATGTTATCTTAAGCGACCTTTGTAATCGTTTTGTCGGTGTTACGAAAAAAGCCCCTCAAAACAATGGTAAAAGCAAGAAAAAGCGCGCTGAATTTTGATGCGTACTACTTTGAGCGCGCGTTAGCCTTCGTCAGCATTCACCATTGGGTAAATAGTAAACGGGCAGTTGGCCAATCAGTTGTTATAAACAAAGTTAGTTTGAACGAAAATAAAGGAACGAACAAACCTGATATTCCATTGAAAAGGTGGACAATTAGAAAGATGGTCACTATTTTTAATCTTGCCAACATGCCGGGCTGATATAGCCTTGCTGTAGGAAAAAAAAGCGCACATTTGAGATGGTTCTTATCGTTTTTATTTTCTTCGGCCTTTCATAGGGTTTGTTTCGCGACCTTTAGATTCTTAGACGATTCTAAATACTGAGTATTGCTTGCGCGTGAAACATGCGTCATTTTGGCGGGAAAAAGTGATAGCCGTCGTCATTCTACTACGAGTTTTAGCCGGAATGTCATAGAGGCGGAAAAGAGTTATCAGATATGAGCTATCGGGAGAGGGCTTAACATCCTTCAATAAGATAACTTTTCTGGTGAATCGAAAGTACAGTGAAGCTTTCCAGGGTATCTATTATTTGAGAATGTGCGAAAAAAACTTTATTTTAAGACAAATTTCTTACTCGTAGTCGTTCCCGTCCTCGAATCTAAAGCTCTCTAATGCCAACTAGCCTTCCTTGTACGCTATGGAAGTTGAGAAATTACTTGTGAATGGACGACAAAACCGCAGCTTCGTGTCAAACAAATATATCTTCCAAGCATTTTATCAAACCACGAGAAACGTTCGAACGACAAAACGGAACTGTTTGAAAAACTTTTAGGCTGACAAAATGTTTTCAAAAACCACTACTGCAATCCTTCTCAATTTTCCTCAAGTTTGTTTATCCTTGCCAGCTTTTGTATTTACCACGTTATTTATGATACCCTTTCTTAATGTTTTAAGCGGCTATTTTTATGTTTCACTCCATTTGCTGGCAGTTTGAGTTTTGATAAATTTCGTAACACAGCTCCTTTAATACGTTACGTTTTCATCTACCGTTCTATAGTAGTCTATTGAATGTTTTGTTTACTATTTTGGTATCTTCTGAATCGAGCGTCCTCCCAGTCTGTGTTGAAAGCATTGAAGGTTTGATTCATGTTATGTCTCTTACTAATGACCTCGATAGAGGCCTAGTCATCTATTGACGTGTCTTATTAATAAATGATGGTCACGAACTGACTTTCGCTGTGTTAATTAAGGGAAATCAAAGCAAACAAATCTTTGAGGAAATCAAATCATTTCTCTCGGTGGTGTGCCGATAATTGATTATAGCCGAGGCGTAATTGATCATCGAAAATGTTCAATCGATTATCGCGGAAAAAATATTATTTCTTGTTGGCAAATTAACGTATTAAAACTCTTTTTTCCCCTTTTGTGGTCTCCTGATAAAAGAAGAAAGAGAATTTCAGTAATCATCCGAAAGCACGGAAAAAATTCTGAGCTCAGTGGTCCACAGTCAAAAAACTCAAAAAGTTTGTATTACATGTACTTTGAGTTACACAAAGGTAAAAATAAATTGAATTCTTTTAAACATAATAGATGATTGATCGGGTGGGTCAATCTGATTATTTCCTATGATCGATTATGAAATCTCAGCCGACTCCCAACACTTCTAGTTAATGTCTGTTGTCTTTCGTTTTTCGAATGAGGAGGAATATAATTCGTGACGGCCGGAGAGGCCGGAACGTTTATATGTAGTTGCTGGTACCAACTAATGGAAGCCTTTCTTCAGTGTGTCTGTTGGTCACGCTGCATTAAAATGAATGATTATTATTTACAAAGAAGGTTGTTAACAAATTTCACAACTAAAATGTTTTGTCATGTTTGCACAAAAATATTTTGCTGGTACCTGAAGGTGTTAACGAGAGAAACACATCTTTGAGGAAAAGGGAAACGTCTTAATATACCGGGTACCCGTTTTGTTCTTTGTTTAGTCCTTAATGCTTCATTAGTGCTACAAGAATAGAAAGATCTTGTGAAATGTTTTTCTATAAATGGGTTTCCATAAATTTCATTTTCTATTCTTCGGCTTGACTACGATTCTAGTTTTTAAGTCTAATTTCGATAACGCGTACGATTTGTTGTTTTATTTTATTCACACCAAACCCAAGAAATAAACGAATTGTTTTTAAATTGATAGCTGAGTTCTAACCTAAACCCATGTACCTAATACTTAAGAAATTAGCGAAAAACCGAATAAAGTTCCAACTTTCCCATGCAGTTCCTCTTTAACTAACACTGAAAAAAGACGACGTTTCTTGAAAAACGGCGTCAGTGAACGTTGTAAGTAAATTAGCCAGCGATCACTGAAACACCGACTCCATTCGAAGTATTCTTTAAGTGAACGATAATACAGGTGTACATTAATTAAAAGAAATAAGTTAAACAATGCAATGTTTCACTAAGGGTGAAGAAGCCCCATGGTTCCCCTGCGTTTAAGGTCTCAACGCAGTCTAGTCTGCCAATGAACGTTCAGTGTTTCCATATAGATTTAACCCTGAAAACGCGCCTCGTAATTGGATTCATATTTATTCTCGGCAAGACGTAGGATGTTAGCAGTTAACATCCTTGTCTTGTCGTATTAATTATGGATAAACATGATGTCCCGCCACATTGATTTATTTTATAGTGAAAAAATTCTATTGGAATTCCAACTAAGTGCTAATCACCAACTGTGAGACTTAATTTAACAAAGTAGTATTCTAAATTTTGTCTGTGAAAATCACCCAATACGCTTGAAAATGACCGGCATTGAAAATTGGATTCAAATCTCTCCTATTTTAACAAGTTTGACACTTAATGGCTATCATTCTTCATAATGATATTAGAAACGTCGAAAGGTCGAATAACGTTACTTTTAATTTTTCTCGAAATTTGTCCACATCATTATTTTAGTGTCACGATGACAACGACCAGGTCACCAATAAATGTGTTGCCCCTATAGATTGATTTATTTTTCCTACTGTTATTTGTTTTTTTTTGTATTCTTTCTCACCGATTCAGCTGTTGCAAGGTTTAGGACTTAATCTCCCAGCGGGGGCTGAGACAGATCAGCACACGGGCTCAGCTATAGCAGTTTATTTGGTTCTTCATGGTGCCAACGTCAGCTTTTACAACCACGAAGGAAAAACTCCATTGGACCTTTGTCAAGATACCCAGACTGCTGCCTTGATTCAGCAATTTGCAAGAAATGCACCGAGGTGGGTGACCTGCGAAGCAGGCTCTTGTAAGCAGTAGGGCTCAGAGAAGAACGGGGCGCGAGAGGGGGACACTTGATGAGAGAGGTCCTTTCGCGCGCCCCGTTCATTGTTGCTCCCATATTACTTACAAGCGCAGGATACGAAGTGGGGAAATTCACATCTACTCTATGTCACTTCACTAGCTCGATCATCTCTCATACCGGGTGGGGCTTCTGTTGACAAGAACGGTACGGTGATTTCGGTACAATTTCTGTAACGGAGCGAAGCTGCGACGCGTCGGTCTCACAAACTAAACATCACATGGTCGGATAGGTTTCTGTCACTCTTCGTCGGAGTGTGAACAGGTAATCGGGCCGTAGCGGAAGTAAGTAAGTAGGAGCGAGAACTGGAACCCACTAAAACCGAAGTAAATGTTGAGAAGTGAGGATTGAGATTTAGTGTAAGTACCAATCCCTCTCGGCCGCTTTGGTACGATGTTCGATGGGTGTGATCGTTTTATTCCTCTTCTCTGCCGTTGCTGTTCATGCTATCGGATAGCTTTCATGTCGGCATAAAAAGCTATTTAGTATAAAGTCGAACCTGCACTAACGGCCACCTCTCTGCAACGGCCATTTTTTGGCGGACAGTTCATGCATTCACTCTTGTTTCAACCTCGCTACAATGGCCACTTTCTTCTGTCCCTAAGGTGACCGTTGTAGAGAGGTTCAACTGTTGTGTAGAACAACAGGCCCCTTTATCCTCTCTTGATTAGAAGAAGCCGTAGATGATGAAGAGCAACTATATAAAATCGAATGACGTCTCGTCCCATCGTCTTTTGATTTTTTGGGGGTAAATTTTAGCTCAACATACAAGCGTCAAAAGTGTTCATGTGAAAAAAAAAAAGAAAATTGAAAGAAACTGTGTCACTGAAAATCTGATATTATCATTCATCATTTATTATCATATCAAATCATTCAGCTTTATTTGTTCTCTGATTGTCCTTTTGTTTTTAACTTGCACAATATTTTTGCTGTGCTTTCAGACAACGGACTTGTTCCACGCGTCAATCTACGTTCACTCAACCTCGTCCCCAAACTGTACTTTCAAGCTCCGTGCCACGGCCTCCTATGACACGGTCGACTGTTCCTTCTTCTTCAATGCCGCCGCGACCATCAACGGCTCGGTCAGCGGTGAGCTTTTTTGTTTCCAATTCTTTATTAGTAGCGCTGAGAGGCGCTGAGAAAGATTGTGTGGTGCGCGTGGCCAACTGAAAATACGATCGAGTTGTTTCCCGGAAAGAGGTAGGTAGGTTGGTAGGTCGGTATGTTGGTAGGTGGGTAGGTATGTTGGTCGGTAGGTAAGTAGGTGGGTAGCTAGGTAAGTGGTTGGTAGGGAGGTAGGTAGGTAGGGTAGGGTAGGTAGGTAAATAGGTATGTTGGTAGGTAGGTTGGTAAGTGGTTGGTAGGTAGGTAGGTAGGTAGGTAAGTAAGTATGTTGGTAGGTGGGTAGGTAGGTTGGTAAGTGGTTGGTAGGTAAGTAGGTAGGTAGGTAGGTAGGTAGGTGGGTTGGTGGTATTCATAACAGCGTTATTAGGGAACGGGAACGGCAAGGCTATTAGTTCCAACTTGTTTTTCCTGCTTTCAAGTAACTGGAAGACTTGCATTGTTTCCGAAAGAGTTTGAATGAACGCCAAGTCAATAATTCAACGACGTGTTCATTGCTTAATTTATCATGTTATGCTGTTACATAAGGCAAGGGTTCTCTCATTTTGTCTCTAGCCGACTTATATAAATTGTAACTAAGCAGCTGCCAACTCGCTAGTACTCGGTGTCAGTTCGACGTTGCAGCTGCGTTGTTAAGGTTGCTTGTGGGATCTCACTGAAGACGCAATCTGCGGTCAAAACGTTAATCACAATAGACCGTGGCGCGTAGGCCCGTCTTTTGTAAGGCGCTATACTCGTGCGAATGAGATTAAGAGGTCTTACAACTAAGCGACCTTTTTGTTGATTGCTACCAGGAGAAACGCGAGTATTGTCAGCCCGTCTTCTCCCGGAGCCAATCACGCAGACATGAGATGGGATTCTAACTTTTTAGCATCATACCTTTAATTTTGGCGTAGGTCGCCTTTAAGTGCCGCAGTGTTACCTACAGGAAATATACCTGTCTTCTGGAAGGTTTACCTCTATAAAGACCGTTTTGACGTGTTTTTCCTTACAAATTTACAGTCAGGCGCTGCAGTGCAGCGTCAGAAAAAGACCCAGGATACAGTCAATCGAGCTGAGTCTGCAGGAACCGACTGCATTATCTGTTCAGAAAACGTGGCTACTGTTACATTCAATCCGTGTGGTCATAAAGTCACGTGTTCAGGTAAAACTATACAAAATCGTAAGAAGAAGCCTTCCGCTCTGCGGAAACACAAACTATAATACTCTTAAATGACCACGTTTAACCTCGTTTTGAAGAGAATTCTAGGGCCTGTTTACAGAAGGTGAGACAGCCCGGTTAGCCGTGCTGGCTCGGCTCATGCATGCCTTGTGTCTTCTTAATATTGCCGTTGTGTTTATATGAGAACAAGGGCTTGCTTGGGGAGATCCCAGTTATTGGAGCCGGATCTCGGCAAGCGGGCCAGTCCGCCTTCTTATATAAACAAAACGACAATTTTTAGAGGAAACAAGGCATGAGCCAGTCCGGCTTTCAGGAACTCTGAATTCCATGACGCCGTTCAAGCCTCAGTTGAGACTAAGCTTGTTTAAGAGTATTATGGTATTGTTTGAAAAGGCCTATCCGTCCTTTTTTTCGGTTTCGTGGTTGATGGTTGCTTGCAGCAGTCTCTAGCTATTGTTGTTTCAGCTGTGTAATCAAGATACCAGTGCACATACACGCCTACAGCGACATTTTATGTCCCTGGGTATGTCTAACGATAGAGTTTTACTGCGCGACTGACCTTTGATCCACTAACTTCCGTTTGTATTTGCTGTGTAAATTCATACTTTTGTCATGTTTTAGTGATTTCACTCATCAAATCAGCTCCTTTTATCTCAATTCACTTGAGCGTTTTCTTTTACAGTTTGTTCCATGAAACTGAAACGCTGTATAACGTGTAAAGCAGCAATTCAACAAAAAATATCACCAGGTAAGTACCCTTTCACTCATACCAGTGGTCAATAATGATAATTATTATTTATTCAAACAATTTCGCCGTTTCTGGTTGGCTAAAATCCTCCAGTTATCAGTTATCATCAATTTCATTAAATAACTTTGAATCAAGCAGTTCTTGGTGTCTCATTAATTGTTTAGAGTCGCTTTTCTTTTGAGAACAAAATTTCCATTGATGTTCTTGTTAACTAACTCTGAGAGTTAACAAATTATTGGAAACTTGCATAGCTTCTTTAGGTGCGTCCGTTCTCTTCGAGCTACATACGGTAATTCGTGTTACACTTATAAGTTTAATATTCCTCACCTCTCCCCTCCAAAGAAATATTTTTGTAAAATAAAAAATGGATCGTGACTATGCAAAAGTTGCTTCAAAGAGGTTTTGTTTGAATGGTCACACCACAGGATTTCATCCACAGACTCAAAAGTTAGAACTACATACTAAATAAATAGTACCTTGTGAAAGTACTGCTGAAGAGGTTTGATTTGAATGGTCACACCATAGGATTTCATCCACAGACTCAAAAGTTAGAACTACATACTAAATAAATAGTATCATGTGAAAGTACTGCTGAAGAGGCTTCATTTGAATGGTCACACCATAGGATTTCATCCACAGACTCAAAAGTTAGTACTACATACTAAATAAATAGTACCATGTAAAAGTACTGCTGAAGAGGTTTCATTAGAATGGTTACAGCATAGGATTTCATCCACAGACTCAAAATTTAGAACTACATACTAAACAAGAACGCTCTTAGTAGCGTTGAGTCTCGCTTGCTTGGAGATGAGTTATAATGTCAAAGGCCCCGGTGCCGTTATACTACTTTTTCGTTTGGAATACAAAACGAGTGTTGTTTGTCAAAATGTATATACTCAAAAAGTAAAAATTGCAAGGAGAGACAGACTGCACATGTTAGCCTCAAACCGGTGCGAAACCTTTGAAAACCTACTTTTTCAGGGATTCTACACTCGAAAAATTGAACGATGATCTTTATCGGTATCAGGGGCCTATGACTCTGTCAGTATAAATATACGTAGCTTCTTTGTACCGGACCAAGATACGGCTCGGTACAGTATATGTTCAGCACAGGAAAAAAGTGTAAGTTGGACAGAACGTTATACAACACACAGTAAATCCAGTTCGCGCGTATTCCTGCTGAATTTGTTGTCCGTTTTATAAGATATCAATATCGCATGAAAGTAATGACATTTTCCATAGCTGCTTAGTATCTACTTTTAATATCTCCGTACAGTCTCAGAGTACAATGTTTAGAGTTGTACACAGCATGCATTTTAGATAGATAGATAGATAGATAGATAGATAGATAGGTAGGTAGGTAGGTAGGTAGGTAGGTAGGTAGGTAGGAAGGAAGGAAGGTAGGTAGGTAGGTAGGTAGGTAGGTAGGTAGGTAGGTAGGTAGGTAGGTACGTAGGTAGGTACCCGTGACACGTTAGGGTGGATTTCCACTGAGCGTTTTTGGCTCCGCACGTTAACGCACGTAAATTTTAATCACGTAAATCAAATAGAGGTAAGACATAAAGTATTGAGATTAAACGTCAAATTAAGCGAGTTTCTACTTTTACGCTTACATAATTGTACGTGCAGCCTTTCATACATTGCCTTTATTATATTTGCGAACGCAAATTTTACGCACGTGCGCACGTAAAAATTACGTGCCAGTGGATACTTCATATCTCAAGTATTTATGAAGTGCAACACGACTTCGCATCGTAACAACTGCGAAAATCTATCAATTAAATACATAAAACAGAGTGAAACTATTTAACCGTACATTTCCTGTAATTGCGACAATATTCTGAGAAACGTAACGCCTTAAAAAGCCACAAAATCCTGAGGATTTCCCCGCTATAATATTGTCTCATCCTGCTTGGGGATGTGCCTGCATGTCGTGCATAATTACACGAAAATCAAGGGCCTCCATTCGAGGAAAATTACGTCATTGCCAAACTTACATGCGTCATTTCAGTCATCGCCGAAATAAACTGCATTCTTATCAGGAGACTCATTTCCATACAATGAAAGCCGTCACGATTCTTATCCCCAGTTTCCACGGTCTTCGCTAGGAACGCGGGGCCTACAAACTAGGTCCCACCGACGGAAAAAAAAAACGTTCGCATTTTAAGAGTCTCGCTTTTCTAAAGCAAGCGAGACTAATAAATAGTATCATGTGAAAGTACTGCTGAAGAGGCTTCATTTGAATGGTCACACCATAGGATTTCATCCACAGATTCAAAAGTTAGAACTACATACTAAATAAATAGTACCATATGAAAGAACTGCTGAAGAGGCTTCATTTGAATGGTCACACCAAAGGATTTCATCCACAGATTCAAAAGTTAGTACTACATACTAAATAAACAGTACTATGTGAAAGTACTGCTGAAGAGGCTTCATTTGAACGTTTACAACAATTACCAAACCAGTTATTAAGTACCTTGATTTTGAGATGATGTAGACTCCTTGCAGTCCGACTTTTCTTTTAAAATCCGTCTAGTGAACATTGCAAAGAAAAATAATAGACTGCTCGGAGTCTAGAGATGATTAGCTTGATTCATTATTTTTCAGAGGGTGCCCCGGTCAGCACTTCAACCTTAATGGACGACACAGACTACGCCGAACGAATACGCGTTCTAGAATCTCAATTGCAAGCCAGGGAAGATGCTATTCTGTGTCAAATCTGCATGGAAAGAGACAAAAATGTGGTGTTTTTCTGTGGTCACGGTGCCTGCAAGGAATGTTCAGAAAGACTCGAACATTGTCATGTTTGCAGGCAAACGATACAGAACAGAATACGCTTCTACAATTGATCTTTTTTAAGTGCTGTGCTTATATAGAGCTTGGCTAGTTTGAAGATACAGATAAAAAATCTCATCGCACGCTCCCTATTAATGTCTTTTGCGGGAAATGTCGATTAGTTTTGGCAAAGTAAGATTAGGTCTTCAGATCAGAAATTGAATTTTTACGAAGTTAGCCGCATAAAAGTTCATTACAGCGGTAGCCGAAATGTCTTGACTTAAGGTGTTTCGGTACAGTTTTTCAGAGGCCATACCGATATTTTTCAATCCCCTTAAAAGTGTTTTTTTTTCTTGTCCGATCGCTATCAAATTTTGTACAGGTAATAGCAGGTTTTGTAGTGATATTTGACATAAATACCACGAGTGGTATTTCGAAATTGTTATACGTAATTTCATGAGCCGTTAGGCGAGTGAAATTTGAGACGATTTTGAAATATCACAAGTGGTATTTATGCAAAATATCACATACAAATCATGCTATTATTTGTTTATACTACTACCAGCAAAAGGTTTGTAATTTTCACATGTAGGTATTTCAAATTAAGCTGAAATACCACTGCTCTAAGCCAATCAAATTGCAGAAATTTTTCATGTAGTAGTATAACATCATTAATTGGCTATGGATTGAAATTTGTGAAAATGTAGTTTTAAGTAAAATCGATATGACTATGACAGCAATAAACAAATAAACTTTGAAACTGATAAAAGCCGAATTTTGTGTGATCTAGACCTGCTACTGAAAAACCAACTCTAGGAACTTAAAGTTTGGTGTTTAACAAACAATCTCCGTAAGAGGTGAAAAATTTTGTATCTTGGAATTCGACTAAAACGCAAATATATATTTTAAACCTTAAATTTTCAATAGCCGTGATAGATTATTTAACAAAAACGTTATAAATGACTCAAATTATTCTTAAGTAGCATCAGAATGCTGCTTAATATCATATTTTGATGCTAGGAAATTTTGGTGTACTTTCGTTCTTGCGATCTTGAAAACTAACCCGTTTTCTCACCACCTGTGTAAGTGCAACTTTATTCAGAATTTGGACTTTTAGCGCTTTCTTGACTCGAACGAATTTTTTTAAAATCTCTTCACATAATCTTCATAATGTATATAAAAATGTCTGACACTTTCATTCAGATTGATTCACTGCAACACCTTGAAATTTCAAGACAAACATCCTACGAACCGGTCAAAAATCTGCGTTACAACATTCATTGTTTTCACGTTATGCTAATTTTTCCAAAATAATGCGCACTATACATACCTCCATGACTAGTACATTTTAATTTGAATTTATCGCATCTTTTGAATTTGAAACATTGACAATACTCACACTGAAATGCACGAGTCATGGATATATGTATTGTCCACATTAATTTGGATAGCCTGCGTAGCAAGCGTTTCCGTTTGGTCTCGGAGCAAAGAAAAACCGAGGAAGGGGACTTTCGGTTTTGACCGCGCGAGAAATGAAACGAGAGCCAAAATGTGAAAGAGGGGGGTGGAAGGAAGTAAACGCTTGCAGACAAACCCCTCGATTTTGAAAACCTGCGTTCGCCAGCGAACTCAGCGCCTGATTGGCTCGGCTAGTCGAACAATATTGACATGTGTCGATCAAAGGTTTGTTTCATGCTGAGAGGTCATGTATGGTACGTGACACGCGTATTAAATTCCTGTGGTTATTGTTTATTCTGGTCGGAAAGATTTGCCCTACAATGCAAGAGCATTTTCTTTAAGTTCTTTTGAAACACAAAGCTCTTCTTGCGACTTTATAAAGGTTTCAGGTCGTTTAATTTGTCTTCTGGATCTGAATAACTAACGCGATTTTCTTTCGTCAGGGAATGATGGTTTCCTGCAATGTTTTGTCATGCTGGGTCCAGCTTGTTAGTGTTTTTTTTTTTTTTTTTTTTTTTTTTTGCGGGATGTTAAATTCTCTCGGATAGTGATTTACAGATACAAATTTCAAAGAATGGATTGCACCTTAAACTGAAGCCACATCAACTAGGAATACCTGCATTGTGATTCAGTCAAAATTTCTGTTTGGTTCTCCACGCGAACTTCATCAGTTACCGGCGGGGTTAGCTTTGTTCTTAGATGCTTTTACAAGAGCACTCTAGTTGTCTGTGCCGTGGCGAGAACGGTAAGCTGTCCTGTCTAGCTGAGCTTTGCGCGTCGCAGATCGAAAATACTAGACTTGAATGCTTGTTACATTTTACCACTTCAAATCCAACTTTCTGGAGGTTTGGAGCTAAAACTTCAAAACTTCATTCACCCTTGCAGTCCTTCCTTTTAGACGGATTAAAAAGACAATTGTAAAAAGCCTGCATTTGTTCGGATTCATTGAGATTTCACCATTAATGCCGTCCATGCGTTCCAAAATACAAAAAAAAAATTATTTTGGTTTCACAAACGCGTCCTCTAAAGTTCGTTTCCGCTCCACGGAAGGCCAAACGTTGATGACAGCATCAAATGTCGGTGCGCGAACTCAGGCATGACAGGCCAAGTGGGCGGTTTTCAAAATCCCGGGGTTTGTCTGCAAGCGTTTCGTTCCTTTCTTCCCCACCCCCTCCCCGCTCTTTTACTTGGGCCACTTTTCTCACGGTCTTTGACTCTCGTTCCTCGTTCTTTTCTCCTAAACCACACAGAAACGCTTGCTACGCAGGCTATAATTTCGAAAAAGTAGCATAACGTCAAAACAGTGAGTGTTGTAACGCAGATTTTGACCGGCTCGTAGGATAGGTTTGTCTTGAAAATTTAAGGTTTGAAATATATTTTCGTTTTAGTCGAATTCCAACATACAGAATTTTTTACTTCTTACGGAGATTGTTTGCTAAACACCAAACTTTAAGTTCCTAGTGTTGGATTTTCAGTACCAGGTCTAGATCACACAAAATTCGGCTTTTATCAATTTCAAAGTTTTTTGTTTATTGTTGTCCCAGTAATATCGATTTTACTTTACTTTCAATCCATAGCCAATTACTGGTGAAAATTTTATAGCGATCGAACAAGGAAAACACCACTTTTAAGGGGATTGAAAAATATCAGTATGGCCTCTGAAAAACTGTATCGAAACACCTTAAAGTCAAAATCTTTTTGCTTAGCAGATGGCAAAAGGCAAAATTATGAGTAATGTTTACAAAGGCTGTAGAAAAAGTCAACAAAACCCTGATGGGCTAATGTGTCTTTTCCAGCAATTGAGACTTAAGGTTCTGTGGGTCAGTCGTATATCTTACACTTGCAGCTAAAGATTCGTGTAACCAAAAAGTAATATGATTCCGTCGTGATTCTGATAATACCGTACGAATAGAGTCTCCTTTTGTCTTCTTCGCTGGTGGGGGAAGAGAAAACAAGGCTCTGTTTTAATCGTGTGCCCTAAGGTCTGGTCTAGCCAACCTTGTTTTCTCTCGTAAATTTTGTTTTATGAGCTCCAGGTTAACTCTGACTGATAAGAGCTTAAAGTTAATTTTTCTAGAGGCTCTCGTCAAGACAAAGTACAGCAGTGAGGAGGATTTGTGTAGAGTTGTGTATATGTGCAAAAGAGGAAAAAGAAAAAAGGCATGAAATAACCCTCAGCAAAAGAGTAACTAAGATCACATAATGTAACTGATGTAATTTTTAGCGCAAATAAAATGGACAAATCTTAGAAACCTTTTTCTAAGACAAATACTGTTAAACGTATGTGCGCGTTTCTCGTTTGTTAATGAAGGGAAAAAAACAGCTGTTAACAAATTGAAGAAACAATAGATGACTTATTGTAGGAAAATTTGCATCTAAACTAAAAAAGTAAGTGCCTGTTTACATGGAGGTGGGGACCCCAGATAGGTGAGGTAACATGTTGCGGGTCACCCCCACCTATCATGTAAACGTGATCAAATTAAAATGAGAGATTATATGGACAGGGGGGTTACCCCACCTTAGCGGGTTACCTCACCTACGTAGGGTCCCCCACCTTCAGGTAAACAGTCCTTAAGGTAAAGTTTTTCACTGCTGACTTTTCATATGGCCTGTTTACATGAAGGTCCCAGGTAGGTTTAGGTAGCATGTGGCGGGTTACCCCACCTAACATTTAAACACTGATCACATTAAATTGAGAGATTATATGGACAGGAGGGTTACCCCACCTAAGCGTGTTACCTCACCTACCCGGGGGCCCCCACCTCCAATTAAACAGGCCCTTAGTTAAGGTTCTAAATCCCTAGTCAGCAGAGTCTCCTTTATCTTGCAATGAGCCTTTTGCACGATGGCGTCATTTTACTAGAATCCTTTTTTCCTTTCATATCTCAGTTTGGTAATCCCAGCGAGGTTTAGATAACAAAAGCCTTAATTTGCACAAGAAAGCAAACTCCTAAAGGATTCTGGTCGTAGTAGTATAATGACGACGTCATGCAAAAGGCCTATCCATTATGTAATCAGAAACGTCTCCCCTATCCGGGCCGGTGTCGATTGTGCTCGGCAACTTTGGAGCAAATTGTAGCGTTTTGGAGTAACATTTTGCGGTTCTAGCAACCTGGAGCAATTTTTGGTCTTTCTGGGCAATTTTTGAGCAAAGTATAGGTTTAGAGCACGTTTCGCAGGCTTAAAATGGTATTTAAACCTATCTAGTAAGAGGCCTGAAACACAGTCAGCACCTGCTCCATTATAGAGAAAAAGAATAATTTTTATACAACTTACTATAATTGTTGCCGCATGAATAATTAGTTATTATCCTTAAATTTTCTCTCATACTTGCTAGCAACTCCTCAAAGCTAAGTTTCAAGCTATTTTTCTTGTCCGATGTTAACAATTATTGTGAAGAACGAAAAATTGAAGCTTTAAATTGACGTTAACTTTGCAAAGACGTCTGGGACTTTTACCAGGCACGGGGAAAAAAAATTGGCCAATAGCTGGCTTGCACGTCTCCAGTAGCGATCCCAGAAGCAATTGCGGAACGCAGTTCAATTCCCTACTTAGCTGTGGCAAATTCACGTTAAATTATCCTAAAGAAAGTGAATATTTTAGTTGGAAAACTCTG